TACTATTTATCTAATATTTTAAACATTGTTAGTATTACTAAAACCAAAATATTACAAAATAATGCAACTATCAAACTGCAAAAATCTTAATACTATTTCTATTATTAGTTATGTTTTAATAGTTCTAAAGCTGAAACTGCAATCATAATACAAAACTATCTTAAACTACACATATTTAACATTTTTTAATTTTATGAATATGCTATTACAATTAACCTTTTTTTTACATATGACTTTAAATTCTGTGTTATATTTATTTATCTATTATATAATAACCTACAACTTAGACTTCTTGCTTATAATACTATTATATAATAAATACAAAAAGTAGAGCATAAAAACATATTACTTATAATTATGAAAAACTTTGATACAACTAATAACTTTAATTCTCTTTTATTAAATACAAACTTTTTTCCTTTTTACAATACAATAATATATATAATTTGGCTACTCATACAAATATTTTGACACCTACTTGGCATAGTAATTGTTATAATAGTTGTATTAACTACATGTGGGTCAACTATTATTAATATGCTATCTTATACCTTATACTACTAATAATCCCAATATTGCACTTGTAATGATCACAATATTCTTATTTCTATATAAAAATTTACATATGTTTTTATAAACAAATAAAGAATTGCTATTAAAACTAGAAGAAAAATATTTTAATACAAAAACATAAACAATAAACTTTAATAAAATTTTACTAACCAAATTTTATCAAACCTCAAATTAACTTACACTTTTTTTTAACTTAAACAACTAATTCTCTTAAGATAATTTAATATAAAATTCAAACTAGTATTGTCTTTGCTACACATGTTTATATTCTAAATAAAAAATTTACTATATATAATTTTCAATATATATTCTTCTCAAAAGCATTACAACTATACTTTTATTTCAAAAAACTTGAAAACATTATTAGATAAATTAAAGCTTCTATTTAGCATTAGTTAATTATACCAATATTACATCTTATTTATAACTAACAATTATAAATTATTGTCTAAATAGATCTTACTAGTTAATACAAAATTAAAATTATTATATTATATATACAATCTAGAAAATATCAAAAACATTAAAGAACAAATTAATGATAATATAACTAAAAGATGCTTAAAACTTTAACACAAATCTATATTTATACTTAATAATATACTTAATTAACATTATGATTTTGTCAGATTTGACAATATTAAAACTAACACTAATATTATTACAAAAGCTTATTTATTAAACAGCATATTCAAAAACATTTAATCAATAGACTGCTTCTTAATATATTTAAATTTAAATCTTTAATTTTTTTGGTTAGATAAATATAAATTCAAAACTAATATTAAGTCTAATTGATATTAATATGCTCTTATAATTTTATTGAAAATAAAAATTTTCAAACCTTAAACCAACTACCTAATAACAAAGTCTATAGTTCATTTGGAATTAGTTATAAAATGCTAAAACATTTAAGTTCAATATTTATAACAGCTATAATTGCATTATTTAATAAATGTCTAGCATTAAACTATATATTTAAATAATAAAAAAAAAGAAAAATCTTTTTTATATTCAAAAAACCCATATTTGATAACAATCTTACTAATATCAGATGTATTAGTCTTTTTGAACATATTAAAATCTCTATACAAAACTTCTTACTAATAGACTCAATAGTATCTGTATTTAATATCTTATTTTATCTTTATACAATTATATTACTTTTTTTTGGCAATAGTATAGCAATTTTTATACATATTCTAAACAATACTATTGAAGATGCTTTCTGTAATTGTAAACAGCTTTGGCTACTATTATAAAACATAAGTAAGGCATATAATTTTGTCAATTTTGATTTTTTTTATAAATTCTTATTACAACTACAAATTCTTTAACACTTTATTAATATTCTAACTAACATTTTTACTAATTATTTAATTATGTTATAATTAGTCTTAGACTTACAAACTTTTATATAATTAAAAATAACATTGACTAAAGAAAAACAATTATACTACTTTTTTGAAAAATTTACTATAACTCTTTTATTAGCAAACTTGCTAATCATTTTCATAGATATATTTTAAATACTTTATAAAAAACTAGTTTTTCTTTATTTCAATTGCAAAATTTACAAACATTTATATCTGTACTGACCTATATAGATAATACTCTTTGAATAACATATTCTAAAAATAAACTTGAATTAATTACTAATACTACATGGCAGATATATAAATTAATTTATCAAATTCATTATCTTAGCTAGCCAATTATTTAAATTTTTAGGTTGCTAATTTATACTTAATTATCTATATTCAAACAAAATCAATTAATTCAAGCTAAAGCTATTCAACTAATTAATATTACTAATATTAAAAAAATTATTAACAAACAAATAGTATATATTATTAATATAATAATTATATCTACTATCAAATATAGACTACATAACATTATACTTTCATATTCTATATGCAATAGTATACTATTTAAATACTTTATAGTAATCAAACATAAATTTAACTTATCTAAATTCTTTTCTAATAGCTTTATGCTAAACTCATATATATACAATATTTATAATATTTAGAACATTTAATTGCAACATCACATTACTAGTTTTCAACAACGGATTAATAATTCTAATATCTTTGACACAACAACAAAAATTAGATTACAACAACTTTAAAATAATCTTTGATTTACTATCAACATTCTTTAATATATTAAATCTGTTATTGATAAATGCAACAAGCTTATTTTTAATTTTAAATCATTTAATTACTTCAATATCTTAAAATTACATTTTCTGCTAATCATAAAATACTATAACCAAATACTATATATAATAATAATTAATTAATTGAACTTATACAACATTATAAGTATATTATTTGTTAAGACAAATATTTAAATTATAGAAGTTTAATAATATTAGAAATAATTTAAATAAATTTCTTTTTGCAAAATTGTTAAACTCAATTTTTATAGCTTAAAAAAAACTATAATTTGCTTTATACATTAGGTTTAATTATTATTATCTTAATCTTCTAAATAGTTGACTATTTCTAATATTTAATATAACTAATAAATAGTTTATTATATTTTTAATAAATTTTTAAGTTTTAAAACTTATAAATTAATAAATTATTTTATAATTAAATAATAATATATATTAATTACATCTATATTTATCAATTTATTAAAAATTAATTAACTAAATATTTGTTAATTTGATAAATACTTATTAAATAAGTTAGTTAATTTTTATCAAATTTTCTAAAATTTATAAACCAATTTATTATTAATAATAAACATATAATTTAAAACATTATCTTACAACTTAACAAGATTTCAAGTTAAAAATTTTTTTTTCATTATTATAAAGGTTTTTAGACATTTTTAAAATCTGTTACATCTTTTTAAAGACTAATATTATTATTTAACAAAGATTGTTAGATGGTATATAACTTCTATATTAATTATTATATTTATAAAAATAACTTATACTTCATTAAGTCACTATATGATGTTCTGAAATCTGACTTTATAATATAAGATCTACAATTTTTTATTCAGTTCACAGCTTTCTAACTTTATATAATCCACTAGTTTGATTATTCTTTATATTTAATAACCTTTTTTATTAATTTTTTAGCTAATTTTTTTAATATTAACATTATTTATTAACATATTTGCCTTTTCTAATCATTTCTAACTCTGTGACTATGCTGGTAAACTACATTCTTACATATGAACTTTGTTTTTTTCTCAATAGAAAATTATTCAAAGATATTCTAATTGTAATCTTAATGAAGTTATTGTTATTTAGTAAAATTTGAAGTTATGATCTTGTGATTGTGATCTAAGAATATTAACTATAATGCTATTGACCTATAGGTCTAGCTAAGTCATTTTTAAAACTGATTCTTTATTAGTAGACATAAAGTTAAACTAATAATCAACTCAACTTAGCTGTTTGGCTTATGGCTTGGCTCAAGTTATTTATACTACTAATAATAAACCAGATTTTATATATAATCTTGTTCTTATTTTTAAATTAAAAAATCTGTGTAAGGTTTTGTTAATCACTGTTACATAGTAAAATTTTTAAAATTTATTAATCCTAAGGTTATAGCTATATAGTAAAATCACTTAAATAATCTTTTTTGCTATTTCTTAAACTGTTTTTCAGGCAAATTTACCTGGAAATTTTATAATCGATCTGTGATTAAGCTATCAAATTATATTGAATTGTAGTCTAAATCTTAGTAGATACGTAGTTAAATTGACAGTTTAAAGGATAGCACTAAAAGTGGTTTTTATACTGGTTTTTGAGAAATAAACGATTTTGACAAACGAATCCTTGTTTTGATCGTGTTACACCTGATTAATGAGATCTGATTTGTGGATCAGGAACCTGCGCCACAATGATCGACAAAACCTGGCACAGATTTGTCTGTTCCCAAATTTTAGCAACGAACATTTTTCGATATCTGTTTTCCTAGTTTAACTTTATAAAACTACAACGGTCTAGAAAAATTCGCTAGCCGGTCAAATTTCGAGATCAGTCATAACGTAAAAAAACAAAATGCAAGAAATAAAAACAATTCAAAAATCATAAAAATTTCTTATAAAACTGTCTTCTATGTACTAATCAAAAGTTTTCCTTGCAAAATTCATTATTACTATATCTTTTAACCTAACTTACTAATAACATACTAATATTGTAATAGCGAAATGCTTTTTTTTTTTAATATCATGGTCTTGGAATGTGATCATAAAAATGGTTATATTTTTGTTTTATGTTGGTATTATAAGGCTTATATAGAACTACGTAGGTTTTATAAAATATGTACTGGATAATCCTTAATAATGGGACTTAACCAAATATACTGTGAAATACTGTATATATTTTAAAATTTCCCTTCCCTTCGAACCTGAGCTTAAAATATTGGCGTTAGGTATTAACTTTGGAAATCCTAAAGGGAATAAAGGTCCCTTTGACTAAAACGTTGCTGTCTTTGTTCTGGTAATAAACGAAAAAGCGGTTGAAAAGCTATAATAACAATAAAAGAAGTAAATATCACTAAAAAAAGTTTCATCATAAAACCACCATTGTAAAATGCAAATATCAAAAAATCTAGTATGCATAATAAGAATGTCACAAAACAATAAAATAGAATAGTACTACTTGGATTAAAGAAATGAATAATGTTCTTAATAAATTGAATCATATTAGATAAGAATCTCTTAATAAACTGAATCATATTAAATATGAATCTCTTAATAAACTGAATCATTACAGATGAGAATCTCTTATCAATAATTTGAAAGACCTCATATTCTTCTATTTCAAAAGTATCTTTATCAATAATTCCCATTTCATAAGAGCGTTGCTTGCTTATACCACTAGCAGATCTTCGTGAAGAGTTACTTTGTATCCACAAATCTTGTAAGCCAAAGCAAGGTCCTTTATCATTACACCAAATGATTGCTTCGCTTTTAGTAGAGATACGACTTAATCGGGGAATTGTTCCATTTGAAAATGAAAGTAATGAAAATATAAAACTCTTTGAAGTTTTGCATTCATGATTATTATAATTATTCATGATACTACGCCAATCTAACGGATTATATCCACCTATTATTTCCCCTGAATTTAAGACCTTAATTATGACAACAGTTGGCCCCTTATTATCACAATTGTTATGAAACTTACGAACACTAAAATTTTCTTGGCTTGCACGATAAATAAGCTCGAAATTGAAAGGTATATTTTTAAAAAGATAAGGTATTTCTTTGTTATCAATCCAACTTGCTATTAATGCTGCATCTTTAGCATTAATAATTTTAGAATCAAAAGGATATGCTGATACTCTTTTTTGTAAAAGATCATGCCTAGGATCTAAGTTACGGAAAATTTCATCAGAAAGATCTGGAAGAATGTCTTTGTATTGAGCTTTAATTAAACGAAGCTCATAAAGTGACATTTGAAAAAATCTAATGTAAGGAATACAATTATGTATAGTTTTTTCAAGTTCCACAAAATCTGTTCGACTCCATTTAGCGAAATCATCAGTTAAAATAGATTCAGTATTTTTGATTCCCCATTTAATTAAATATTCCCAAACTTCAATTTCATCTAGTCGAAGATCATCACTTCTCAACAAACGAGTTAGATGGTCTTCTTCCATTTTTAAAAATTCTTCTGATTCAAAAACGGTCTTTGGATTTTTACACACAAGATCAAATGCAACATTATATAACTCAATATCATTATTATGGCATAATGTAATAAAATCTTTTGGAAATTTCCATGCAGATTCAGTTTCAAGCAACCGTTTCTTAAGTTGTTTACAAATTTCAAGTAATTCAATCTCATCAGCAGAAATAAAAATATCAACAAAGCTAACATTATTTCCAACAGCAAATATTCCTGTATAAATATAACTATTCATTTTATTAAAAATAGGACATAATTAGATTCGTATCAATAATTTTTTTTGTAATTATAAAAAGTATATACATATATGTCGTAAGTGGTTAAATTAGTGATAGGATATAGGTCTACATATGAGTGCCGGCAAGGGAAAACCTCGAACCAACAATTATTCCGGATAATATATAATTTATTATTCGGAATAATTGTTGGTTCGAGGTTTTCCCTTGCAGGCAATAATATGATAATTCAACCATATCCTCAAATGCTGGTTTCCGAATTCACTTAAATTTCGTTTCCACTTGCAACATATATAAATAAAACTTACTTTATAAGAATTTCAAATACCAACGGTGAAATATTAGGTTTATTGAAAATAATTATTCCATTTTCTCTTTTTGCCCACCGTGATGATAATGCATTTTTAAAGTAAGCAGATCTTGACGATAATATATTTGAATGTGCTTTAAATTCCTTAATATTTGGTCCTTTACCAACAATAATTTTTGTATCAAAACCTTCAGAAGTTTTAAGCAAATTCAATAAATTATTACTTAATGTTAAAAGATTTTGATTTAGTTCGTTATCCATGTCTGCAAAATACGTATTTATTGGTATTGAAGAATTGCGATTCGAATGATGAAAATATAGCCAAAGTTCTTTTTAGCCTTATTATATACGTAAATCTCCTTCGGAATTCAATTTACTGCATTGACTAATTGATCAGTCTATTGTTCCCTTTTTCGTTTTTGTCAAATGAAGATTGATTAATTTAATCATTTGATCAGTCATTGTTCCCTTTTTCGTTTTTTTTGATAAAATGAAACAAAGAAAATGATTGTTTCAAGGATTTGGAAGCGTTTTGCATCTAGTACAGTATATGCTTCACTGAAAAATGTAAGAACAAGAAACCAGTGATCATCACATCACGTGTGGTTATGCAATACGTTATTTTGTTTACTACATAGCACTAAAAATCAATTTAAAGGTAGAGTACACGTAGATCACTTGTCATATGATTTTAATCGTAATTTTTTTATTTTGGTATTTAAAATCATTTTTACTAACTTAACTGCTTTAAGCTTATAAGCAAAGTTGTAAAGCAGATTTTTATGATTCTAATGATAGTAGAATTATTAAATTAAAATTTGTCGAGATAGGTTTTTTAAAAATTAAGTATTATAAATCTACTATAAAAATCATATAATAATTATATGATAATCAAATAATCAGAATGCTACCATCAAGAATTTGGATTTACTACTAAGACCTTTATGATATATACAATTATAGTTTTTTAAAATAATATATATTATAAAATTTTATTATAATAAATAAAGCATTTTAATTTATATATCTTAATTTAATATATTTTTTAAAAATTTTATTAGTAACATATTTTTATTTAATATGTAAATTTAAATTTACTATATAGATTATATAACTAATGATCTATATATATTTTATTTTTAATTTTAATTTGAGAAATGTGCAAGTTAATTAGATAATGTATTAATTGTTTTTCAAATAAAATATTGATTATTCATTTCTAATTGGTTAATTTGCTATTATTATTTATTTATTTTATATAATATTTATTAATTCATTATAATTAGATTGTAAATGGCTCAAAATCATTCTAGAAAAACTAAAAAGACAAGAAAGAAAACAACATCAGCAAGTATATAAAAACAAGAAAAGAGAAGAAGAAAAGTTTGAAAATCCTACTAAACAAAAAGAAGTAAATCATAAAGAAGTAGACTACTTAACAGAAGATGTTTTTGAAGCAAAATCATATTTAACAATATAAGATCTTTTAACTAATATTAATACAGAAGAAGTAAGCCACATGTGCAGAAACATCAAAGGAGTTTATATAAAATATATCAAAAGATCTAAATACAAAGAACTAGCATTAATTAAAACAAAAAAATTAGAGAAAGGAAATACTTCATGGTCACTACCAATAGGAGTACATATACTAGCAAGAGTAACTTTAGATAATAAAGATTTTAATCAATATAATATGTAAAATCAATTTATAACAAGATTAATTGAGTTTCCAAGTAATGCATTAGAAATATTATTATTATAATATCTAAGAAAAAAAGAAGCAAATCAGTGTATATACCATCTAATAGATATAAAAACCAAAAAAGATCAATGATAATTATTTTTACATTAATAGAGAAAATAGAAGCAGCATAAACAAAGTCAATAAGATTTAATAATTATCTATTCTTTTGACAAAATTATAAAGAAAAAATAAATAAATATATAAACAAAGAAGAAAATATAGATACAAAATATATCAATAATAATAATATTAATAAAATCTCTGATATAGAAGAGTATAAAAATAACAGAAACAATAAATAAGAAAAGAAGATTAACAAAAATTATAAATATAAGAAAGATAGGAAAAACTTAGCACTAAAAATCAGAAATGAAAAAAGAATAAAAAAGAAACAGTAACCAAGACTTGATCTCAAAAGGAAAATTTATATATTGAAGATATTCTAGATTTAATACTAGAAAGATTAAAAATTCTAAAGAAAAAAATGAAAAAAAATAGAATAGAACAACTTAACTATTCCTAAAGGCATTACAATTGAACTAATGAAGGTAAACAAGAAGATAGAGAATTTTTTATAAGATGAAAGAGAGATGTTTGAAGAAAAACAAGAAATAAAGTCTTTTTGTCAAAAAAATAAAAAGTTAAATAGAAGAAAAGAAAAAATAAAAAATATAAAAATAAAACAAAAACTATTAAAAGAAAAATTAAAAGAAGAAAAAAAAGAAATAAAAATAACATATTACAATATTAAAGAGCTTAAAATCAAAGATTGGAAGTTGAAAAATCTGCTTAGCTGGACAGAAGAAAAAGAAATTGTAATAATGGAATTATAAAGACAAATCTTACAAAAAAGAAGTAAAATACCTAATGCATATAGTAAATAAAAGATATATAAGATTTTAAACAAACACAACAGAGAATAAGAAAAAAAAGTCAAGTGTTAAAATTATAGTTAACAAACAATAGAAAAAGTATATAAGTATTATCAAGAAAACAAGTAAATATATAATAGAAATTAAACTATATTTAAACAATTGATATTAGTAGTGATTACAATCTATGTGCCACTGAATAATAAAATAATAGAAAAATTATTTAGCAAAAAATTGTAGAAACAGTTTTTAAAAAAAAAAGACAAACACAAATTATTGTAATAAGTGATTTTAATCAAATAGTAGACAATATTTTAGATAGACAACATTCACAAACAACAAATTACAAAAGACTGCCAATCTTTAATTAAATGAAAAATCAAGAGTTTAGAGACAAATTTAGAGATATAAATCCAATAGATTAACAATACACATGGTCAAATAGAGAAACAGTAACAAGAATTGACTATATATGAATATCAGATAGGCTAATTTTAGGTCTACAAATACCAAAAATTAAAAAAATAAAAACAATCACAGAGAGTGACCACAAGATAGTAATAGCAGAAATATAGGTTAAACATATAATAGCAGGAAAAGCAAAGCAGAGATTAAAAGAAAAAAACAGTCAAGAACAGTATATCTATATAATCAAGCAAAAATAGAAGATTAAAAAAATTATATATAAAAGTTACAGAATCAGTTAGAAAGAAAGAAGATTCTTAAACACATTCACCAAAAAGATCAAAATAAAGAGAAAAAAACAGAGAGAATAAACAATATATGGAATATAATAGAAGAAACTATTATTACAGTTGCAAGTAAACACATACTTAAGAAAAAAGTATATAATACAATAATAAATAGAAGAAGAAGTCAAAAAGAACAATAATAAGAAGAAAGCATTATTAAGCTATAAAAATTAATCAAATATACAAAAGCTAAAAGAACTCAAACAATAACAGAAGTGAAAAGAAGTGAAGTGAATAAACAATTAAAGATACTAGGCAAGGAAATTTGTGTAAAACTACCAAAACTGTAAAGACAATGATCAAGTGCATAGATAGAAATATGAAAGATTAAAAAAAACTATTATTAGAAAGGAAAAGAAAAACTGTTAGTGAATATAAAGATAACAAATAGAAGAGAATATAGATAAAAGTTGTAAAATGATCAAAACAGATCAGAAAAAAATAATAGCAAGTCTTCTAAACAGACCTTATAAGAAAATAGTACTTAACAAATTTATCAAAAAACAGAAAAAGAATCAAATTTACTAACAAGCTTAGAAGATATTAGAGTAGGCATAGCAAAACATTACAAAAAACAATTTAGAAAAAAAAATACAAAATTAAAAAAGATAACAAAAGAGTGAAAGAAAATATATAAATTACAAGAAAATATTAAAAAGAAATAGTACATAAAAGTTGAAAAAGAAATTAAGAAAAAAGAATGAGAAGAAGTTTTGAGAGAACTAAAGACAGAAACAGCTCTAGGCATATTAGATATAAGTTATATTTTAATAAAATAAGCAGAAAAAATAACACAAGAAGTATTCAGAGACTTTGCAGACTTATGTCTAGAAGTAAAAAAAATACTGACTAAATGAAAGATAATGCAAGTCTATCCAATATTTAAAGATATTAAATAGGAATATAGTTTAATAAACATTCAACTGTTAGCACTAATAGAAACATTTAAAAAAGTTGTAATAAAAATTACAACAAAAAGGCTTACCAAAGTATTTATAGAAAAAAAATACTCAAAAAACCAAACTATACAGTCTTTTTAGGCAACTCAATAGAACAACTAGTACATATTCTTAATATAATAATAAAAGAAGCAAAAGAAAACAGTAAAGAAGTATAGATATTTTTATAAGACATGAAGAAAGCATTCGACTCAGTTTTACTTAAAAGTCTGAAGCTAGTACTATAAAGAATTAAAGTGTTTAAAAAAACAATAAAATACATCTTGGATCTGTTTTAAGAAAGACAGCTAAAAATTATCACAACTCATAGTCTAACAGAAAAGATAATAATAGGTAATAGCATAGATCAAGATGAAATAATATCTTTATTAATATAGTAACTTTTTTATAATCTACTGTTAAAGAGAATACAAAAAAATAAAAACTTAAAATATTTAATAAAACAGCAAATCAAAAAAGACATGCAATGTAGCAACACCATAAGGTACTGCCAAGCAGCCATTGCATATGAGTGACGAAAAAGGAAAACCTGTAAATCATTTTACTTATTATTTGAAATGATTTACAGGTTTTTCCTTTTTGTCACTCATATGCAGATGATACAATGTAAATTGCAAATAATAAAAAACAGCTAATAGAGATATTAAAAATAGCAGAAGAATTTTTCAAGATAAATGATATAGAGATAAATAGATTTAAATCAAAGCTCTTAATAATAAATACAAAGTAAGGAAAGAAGAAAGAGAAGTGATCTTTGGAGAAAACAAAATAACAAAAAAAGCAAAAAACAAGATAGTTCACTTACTAGAAATATAGCTAAATAACAGAATAAGTAAAATGCTAATAAAAAAGAAAGCCAAAGAAATAATTAGCCAAACAATAAGAGATCTCAGATATAAAAAAATGACAATGAGTCAAATTGTATATATAA